TAACATCGGTATCGATATCGGTTATCGGCTACATGAGTTTTAAAATATCGGCATATCGGATATCGGCCAAAATCCCAATATCGTGCATCCCTGATTTCTAAACTAAAACTGAACTCGACATGCGAAGGTGAAGGAAAACTCACAGATGCTCGATCATTTTTCCCCAAACAGTGAAACAAATCTGAAAGTCCGTCAGGCTTTGAGTGTGACCTCAGATTTGGGAAATGTTTCAACACTAACGGAGTTTGATGGTGAGATGCTGCGAGTGTTTTTATATTTCAGCAGCGTTATATTGTGCTAAATTAGGCTCAGATGGTTTCCTTTTGTTTTGTCGTCTCTCCTCAGGAGAAGTCATTTGTGAACCACCGAACAACAAACTGGATAAATTCACAGGAACGTTGTACTGGAGAAATAATAAATACTCTTTGGATAATGAAAAGATGCTTTTAAGAGGTTGCGTTCTGAGAAACACGGAGTGGTGCTTTGGAATGGTCATCTTTGCTGGTATTATTAATGGTTTTTTATCTCCATACTGGGGATCTTTTGCGCCTAAATGTTCTTTTTGGAGAATTTTTTGTCTTTGTTTGCTTTAATCAGGGCTACAAACCAAGCTGATGCAGAACTCTGGAAAGACTAAATTCAAAAGGACCAGCATTGATAAACTAATGAACACGCTAGTATTATGGGTAAGAAGTTGGTCTTATTTTTAATAAACCCTTTTTTTTAAAACTTTAACATATCATTTTTAACTTTTAAACATTTTTACTATGATAAATAACAGATAAATATCTCACAAATAAAATAAAAAAAACACTTTGCTGCTATTGCTTCCAAATCAGTTACACTGGAAAAAAACAAAATCTAGAAGCAAATTTTCATTTAAAATAAGAAAACACAATTGCATTGTCTTATTTCTAGTGCATGTTATCGAATTATCTTATTTTAAGAGTAAAAATAGTTGGCAAACAATTTCATTTACCTACTCAAATTAAGGATAAATACACTTACAGTGGGGCAAAAAAGTATTTAGTCAGCCACCAATAGTGCAAGTTCTCCCACTCAAAAAGATGAGAGAGGCCGGTAATTTTCATCATAGATATACCTCAACTATGAGAGACAAAATGAGAAAAAAAATCCAGAAAATCACATTGTCT